GATGGGAAAATCTTGCTAGTCGTGTATGTGGATGATATTGTCATAACTGGAAGTGACAGCAATGGAATTGACAGGCTGAAAAAATTCTTACAGGACCATTTCAATACGAAAGATCTGGGGAAGCTGAAGTACTTCCTAGGAATAGAGGTTGCGAGGTCAAAGCAGGGGATCAACCTATGTCAGAGAAAATATGTTCTTGATTTACTTGAAGAAACAAAGTTGTTAGGTGCTAAACCATCAGAGACTCCTTGGAACTCAATGCCAAGTTAAGTATGGATGCAGGTGAAGAGTTTGATGATCCTGGAAGATACAGAAGGTTGGTGGGAAAGTTGAACTACCTGATCATTACCCAACCAGATATATCATTTGTTGTGAGTGTGGTGAGTCAGTTTATGCAACATCCCCGGGTTCCTCACTGGGAAGTTGTTCTGAGAATTGTTAGGTACCTAAAGGGTGCTCCAGGTCGTGGTTTGTTATACCAAAATGGAGGAACTCTTGACATAGTAGGGTATACAGATGCTGATTGGGCTGGCTCTATATCAGACAGGAGATCAACCACAGGGTATTGTACCTTCTTGGGTGGAAATCTTGTAACTTGGAAGAGCAAGAAGCAAACAGTGGTAGCAAGAAGTAGTGCAGAAGCAGAGTACAGGGCTATGGCCCATACCACATGTGACCTAGTATGGCTGAAGAACTTATTATAGGAGATGGGATTCTCAATTGACAGACCCATGAAACTATACTGTGATAACCAAGCTGCTGTTCACATCTCATCCAATCCCGTCTTCCATGAAAGAACTAAACATATTGAGGTGGATTGTCACTTTGTGAGAGAGAAAGTGATAAGTGGGGTAATAACTACATCTCATGTAAGCTCAGGAAATCAGTGGGCATATCTCTTCACAAAGGGATTGTCTCGGGGAAGAATAGATTACATTTGTAACAAGCTGGGACTATATGATATATACTCTCCAGCTTGAGGGGGAGTGTTAGAATGCTCAAGTCAGGGGTATTTTGGTCATTCTGGTTTATCTTCCTGAAAGTGAAAGGTCTATTGTATCTGAGTTTAAGTTATGTGCCCCATCTTCTATGAGGGACAAAATAGTCTTTCTTGTAACTCTAAGTTTTAAGAATAAATGTCAAGTGGGTCGGCTAGGAGAGTAATTCTTCACATTCTCTCTTCTAGTCTGGTCGAACTCTTCTTCTTCTTCTTCTTCTTTCTCTTTTCTTCGTTCTTCTCTACTTCGACCTAGAATCTACTAGGGTTTATTTACAAAAATAAATAAAGTTAGCACAATAAGAGAACATCGGCCCAATTACTCAACACTCCCCCTCAAGTTGGGAATAAATGTCACACATTCCCAACTTGCGTAGGTCATGCTCTAATAGGTATAATGCTAGGTTTTTTTCAAAATATTCCTTGGCATTGTCTGATTTAAACACTTTCACTCGTACCCCAAACTGCATTAGCACCATCTAATGAAACTGTCGAACCAAAGATGGCACCTCATCACGGGAACTCATCAAATATAGCCAAGAATATCAAGAATAATCATTCACCAATAGAAGGAAATACCGGTAGCCACCCATAGAGGGAATATGATATGGCCCCCACACATCAGTATGAACAATATCAAAAGCAGAAGAACATATTTTATTACTAGCTTTAAAGGAATGTCTACAATGCTTTCCAAGTTGACAACCTTCACACTCTAAATTGGACAAATTAACAGACTCAAACAACCTCAGAAACAAGAAATGCAAAGAAGTAAAGACAAATGCCCTAACCGATTATGCCAAAGCATAATCTGACCCACTAACTCTGACTCAATACCCCTACTGACATGATGACTCTGATAACTAGGAAGCGCATCAAGAAGGTAGATTCCATTCACCTCACGACCACTCCCAATCGTCCTCTTTGATTCTAGATCCTGCAAAACACAATGACAAGGAGAGAAAATTGTTGAACAATTCAAATTCTTTGTCAAACTACTAACAAATAAAAGGTTAGTACCCAGTCTAGGAACATGGAGGAGAAAGGGTAGGAAAATAGTATCGATTATCTTGACAGACCCTTTCCCAGCAACGGGAACATGTGATCCATCAGCTGTAGAAAATCTATCTCTGCCAGAGCAGAGGTGGTATGAGGAGAAAATGGTGGAAATGTTGGTCATATGCTCTGAGGCTCCTGAATCTATAATCCAAGGGGGTCCCTCCTTACTTGTAATGGAAACATAGTTTGCAGTGGCATGTGAACTACCTGTACAAAAGAAATAGAATGGTCACCTCCTGATCCACCTATACCTTGCTGCCCACCCAATAATGGGTTAGGGCTGACTGTATCTCTCTGATTTAGTAACTGACCATATCTCTCTAGTTCGGCCCTCACTGCAGCTGCTACAACAAACTCTAGGGAAGTTGAAGTAGGTGGTCCTGATAAGTCACCAGTTATAGCCATATTCACATTTCCCTTCTTGTTTCTAAGTCGGCTCAGCACAAGGTGAGGGTGAAGCTTCCAGCAGGTATCCCTAGTATGTTTAGGCTTCTTACAATAGTCACAGATCAGATCCTTCTTATCTTTGTTCCTGAGTTCATTTCCACCTCTGTCTCCACTCTGCTTCGGTTTCACTATGCTAGCCATAGCAGATTGCTCAAGGCCTGGGTTCCTCATCATCACATTCCTCTTACTCTCCTCTCCTGACACAAAGGCATATGCCTGAGAAAGAGTTA